ACTTCTCACTGTACTCCTCCTCTAGCAACACCAGAACATTTTGGATGCTTTTGGATCCGAAATGATTGACTTGGTCTCTTGAGACCAGAGTATGGATTCCCAGAAGTCTATATTTTGTAAATATGGGCCCTGGAAGAGGTTAAATGAATTTATTTAGCTTTGGCTACAGTAGGTAATTCTAGTGGTGACAACAACCGTGCATGTCACTTCTGCAGGCTGCGTCATACTCTGTGAGATAAACTGTCACTCTTTTCATAGCTTTTGCCGGCTCTGAGACACTTGCATGTTATGTATCCTGCTCTTTTTCTAGCAAAAATTCACTCATCACTAAATGAAAACTTAAAGTGAAGACCTGATTATTTCAGGAGCCTTATCACAAGTCCATTGTTTTTTTAATGTTGGTGCTACTTCTGCTACATTTTCACACTTAAAACAATAATTTGGTATTCCTCTTGTACCATTGACCTCTTTTATGCTAAGAAATAAGTCACCTGGCAGTTCTCTCCCAAGTGGTTCCACTGCTGCCAGCATTAAGTCTGAGAGTAATCAGGCCTGGGTGTGGCTAGAGAAATTGAACTCAGGTGTGATAAACCACAGTTTTAACAGGGGGGCAAACACTTCTTCACACAGGGCCATGTAGTTTTGGATTTTGTTTTCCCTTAATAATAAAAACCTTCATTTAAAAACTGCATGTTTACTAGTGTTATCTTTGACTAATATTTAAATTTGTTTGATTCTCTGAAACATTGAAGTGTGACAAACATGCAAAAAAATAAGAAATCAGGAAGGGGGCCAACACTTTTTCACACCACTGTATATATGAGTAATATAGAGATAAGTCTATTGACCTCCTTAGTTTCAGTGGGTTCCACAGTAATGGAAAACCAGAAAATATCAGGGAATTATTAATAAATAAATTGATTAGTTTTTTTTTCTTATGTTCTGCTCCAAAATATTTTCACCCCAGGATTTTGTTTGGAGCTGCAGCAATGTTTAGTTTATTTTCAATTAATCAGTTCCTGGTTCATAAAATGTCCGAATGACTCATTAGCAAATCAGACGAATCAAGATGGTTTTTTAAAAATCCTAATCCAGTAATGACTGAAAATGTTATTTTTTTTCTGGTGCCCAAAACTGTAATTACTACAAGATTCTAATAAGCCTGGGAGGAGACAAAGTGATGATGATTAAGAATTAGCAGGGCTTATTGAATAATCTTCATCTGAAATTCATCTTTGCTTTGTCTAGATTTTGTGCAAACTTTGTCTGAACTGGACTTCATCCTGTATTTTGTCTATCCAGCACAAATTTAAAAAGTGTTATTTTACCATAATAATAATAATTAAATGTATCAACTGTTGCAAGCATCGCAAGAGCATGGAAATAATAATTAATCTAAAATATAATAAAAATGACATAAATGCTTAAATAATAAATGATTTAATAAAAAAGCATAAAGAACATAAAACACAACACGCATGGTTTCTCTCGATGCGATCCTTCAACATCTACACTGACTGCTCATCTCCTCAGTTTCACTTGAACAACTTGAATTGTTTGTTCACTGACCTTTAAACTAATTGCTCTTCTTAGGTTCTTCTTGCTGTTTCTGGTGGCACAGCCTCTTGCTCGATGCTCTCACAAGTTCAAGAGGTAAATACACCATGTTTCTCTCTAGGCATTTTTATAAAACAAACGGGCCATAGTGTGTGAGGAACATGTTAGCTTGTTTGCTGATTATTCAAAGTGGCCTACCAGCTCTAACCAGCAATTTAAAACAAGTTACCATTTGAGGCTTGGTTCCAGCAGTCTTTATTTCTCTAGTTAATTTTAGTTAATTTTTAGATCATTTAAGTCAAAGGAGAACTGGATCCTCGACTGAGCTTTGTTTCTCCCAAGATTTTTTTTTTTATACTACTATTATCACGATCATACACTAGTAGATGTACTACTATCATATATTATCAATTCAACTGCACTGACACTATCAGATGAGAAGAAAATTTGAACTGAATTGAGCTAGATAATGACACTAACTCTGTAATGTCAGCGTTGCTATTGAAATGAATTTAGCTAAATAATGGCACTGTTTCCTTCTGTAGAGCAGCTTATAGTTGAGTTTATTTCATAATTGACGAACATTTCAACATTGACACTGTTATTGAACTGAACTGAATTTACTTGAGCTGAATAATGACCCTGTTGTCTTCTGTAGAGCTGCTTTGCAGCTGAAATTGAATTTGTTTCATAATTGATTAAATTAACACTGTTATTTTCCTGTTAATTACTGTGAAGCTGCTTTGACACAATCTGTGTTGTTTAAAGCACTGTATGAATAAATGTGACTTTCTGCTTTCTTTTTTCAGGGGCTGAGTCGGGAGGCTCCCAAAAAGTTAAGATTTGTGCCTGGAATCATATACATTGACGGTAAATCTCTTTGAATTGGACAAATTGGACATTATTCCTGTTTCTCAAATTTATGCTTTAGCATTGAACGTTTGTTACGTTTGAAGTTGTGCACGTTATTTATTAGATGGCGGAGCTTGTGGCCGGAGTGCAGAGGAGCGGCAGAGGTCTAATGCTCTGCTGAAGAGCATCTTCACAGAGACCGGCTTCACTTACTTTATAGTTTCTCTAGAGCAGGTAAACCGACCCAATGCATTAACAGACTAATTTTTCTAAAATCAAATAATCAATCATAACATGATTAGTCCACATCTTAAATGACATGAATCACTTTAGCTGCAGTACTTTCAGGGCATCACTTTGACTGTTGGTTGGGTTTGTTTGCAACTCCAGAGAGACTCTGACTGGAGGAATGCTTTGCTCTTGACTGTGTTTTAGGTTTTCAGTCTGCCTACCTCTGTACTGGTGCCTGGCACATCTGATCCAGACCCATCCAATCCCAGCTATAAACAAGCCGTGGATCAGTATATCAAAGAGAAACAGACACTCACAGAAGAGAATGTAGCCAGTGCTGTGGCTCAGCTCAATATAGAAGACTCTGCATATTCTCCCGAACACAAGCTGGCATTAGAGAGGCTGTTCTCATCAATGAAGACACTCACAGCCAAAGAGGATATGCTACAGACCTTAAGGTCAGTTTTCAGCAACTTCTCTATTCTTTTTGCTTTTATTTTCTTTCCTTTTTGAGGTAGTCAGTTATCAAGCACACTCTGTAAATCTGATTCGTTTTAGCAAATTGTTTGTTCAGAAAGCTAATTTCACTGAATCATTTCACAAAACGGATTTGACTTTATGTAGAAATACCTATTTTTATACAAGGTTAAATAATGATTTTGTCACTACGCTTTTAATTTGGTTAATGGTCTTTACTAGTATTAAGTGTAAGTAAATATATTTGTTCAACTTGCTTTTACACTAATAGAGAACGTTCTTGATTTTGAGGGGCCGTTTACACGACAACGTTTTCAGCCAAAAACAATAAACTTTTTATGCGTTTTGGGGACTGAAAACGCATATTTTTGAAAACGGGTTTCAAAGTGGACGTTTTTGAAAACGGCACCATTGTCATTTCCGTGTAAAGACCCAAAACGGGAATCTGTGAAAACGGTGATGTCATGCGCGTGCGTAGTACGTGTTAGGTATGTAGACATGCGCAGTACGTGACGATTTTAAAGGCAAGCGCGAACAAACATACACAACAATGGCGGAGTATATGGTACTGTTGTTGCTGCTCAAGAGTTTGCTAATGCTTCTTCTTCAGCAAAGTGTGGATTTACTTCACCAATATTACAACCAACAGTGGAGACGCATCATACATAGTCTCAGCCTCAGATGTCACGCTCACGGACCGTTGGCTAAACGTCTGATGCATACGGCACACAAAAGTGGAAACACTTCAGGAGTTTCGAAGTCGTCATTGGATTGGTTGAATTATATAGGATTTCCGGGAGAAGTGTGTGTCGCGTTCTTTAACGTTCCGCCTGGAAACAAAGATGCCGTGACGCCAAACCCCCTCACAAAAGAAGAAAGACGTCGTGTTTACAACTGTGACGATGAGCGCTTATCAGGATCAACTAAATGCTGGAGTTTCAAAAGTATGTGAAATATTTAAAGTTCACGGCATAGAATCTTTAAAATACGTCCGAGAGTTTTACACACTGGTCTGTTATAGACTTGTGCCGGTATTCGGTAATGCGATATATCACGGTAATGACTATGCATGATATTGTTATCGTGGGCACTTCTAAATATTTCCACGCCCCGAAACGTGACGCTGAACGAAACGAACTGTGATTGGTTGTTTGACATGTCGGTCAAACGGCCTCATGGGAGGGCCTTGGCCAATGAAAGCTGCCATGAATTCCAGACCTTCAGCCGTCAGTCTGAAGGTCTGGCTACGCGAGACTACATCATACATCATATAATCTTCACTTCCCTACAGGTACTGTTTACTAACAAGGTGACAGTGCCAACTACTGGCCTGGCATACGTAATACAGCGTTTTTGGCCGTTTTCGTGGATGTGTAAGCGCGAATCGTTTTGAACATTTTTAAAAACGCAAGGGAAAAACTTTTCCGTTTTTGACTACACCGTTGTCGTGTAAACGTAGCCTGAGTCCTATAAATGCAACTCTGAAACTACTTTAGAGTAGCTTTGCCGTTTCAAAGTTGCTAGCCCAATGCTGCATCAGAAATGAAAATACACAGTTGCAATGTGATGAAGTTCTAGCGATTAAACAGTTTTCCACACCAGACACGTCACAGTTGCAGGACACTACTAAATCAATAACAAATCAGAGCCAATCAGAAGACCGTGTTGGCAGGCTGTGTTATACTTGTTTGTTCACATAGAATCCTTGAAGTCATTTTCGAAATCTAAGAAAAATTATCCATGGTCACTTTCATTATGGCTATTAATGACCTCCGTGAAGTTGGCACCCCATAAAAAGAA